GCTTAAAATGAAAATTTTAGCCTAACAGGTTCTTAAAACCCAGGTTCTTATACGCGGGCTATTACTGTATCAGTACACGAGATGTCCCTTAATGACTCACGAGTATCGAACACAAAACTATCACATATATCCTGATAAGAATTACGGCGAAATAAATCGAATAACGCAAGGAAAAACCTTAACAAAACTGTTTAACAAAAGCTTGAGGTTGTTTCACAGTGGCCTCGTGCACGCCAATGACCTGAATGACGAGGCCCCCTTATGCATTCTCGAAATAAAGAAAGGGTAAGAAGCCCAGCAGTTACATCTCTTTTTTATATATATATTTTTTATTTTTACATTTAATATGTCTGTTTATTTCTTATAAAACTACAATTGCACAGTGCATACTTACTATTACACTAATAATACTAAAATAAACTTACTTACACACTTACGCAGTAACCAAAGCATAACAATTACACAGTGCCTACTTAGTAAAATAAACCTACTTACACACTTACGCAGTAACCATAGCATAACAATTACACAGTGCCTACTTACTAGTACACAGTGTCTTAAAAGTAACAATATAATGCAACGACAATTATAATAATACTAAACCTAACTTATAGAAGCACAGAGCCAGAGGTTATCACCCATTTCCTAGTAAATTTTTCTATTGTATTGTTTTTGATACATATATATTTCTCTGTCTCATATTTATTTTTGACCTTTAGCTTGAAACCAGTTATATTTGGAAGCGAACAGACCTTCTACAATCCCAAAGATATACCTTAGCAATCAGTAACAAATAATTGAGTAAGGGGCATTTAGAAGTTATTATTCCTATCAATACGTCTTGCAGAGTAAGGTGAAAGAATTCCTTTGTTAAAGAAGAGTAATAGGATTCGAACTGTTTCCAGAAAAGCTGGGAGTACACACAATGGAAGAAGAAATGAGGTAGCGTTTCTGGTTCTGATTCACAGAAAGAACATTTATCATCCGCAGTATAACCTATCTTATATAATTTGCTGTTAGTGTATAATATAGAATTAAGAATCTTGTACTGAAAAGCTCTAACATATGGTTCGAAGGCTAGATTATGAGGCAGGATAAAAACTTTTTTCAGTTGATCATCGGTTAAGTTAAAATCATGTTTCAGAAATCGTGAATTATTTGGAAACTGTGCTTTTCTGCTTTTAATCAATAGGTAATAATCTTTCGACTTCTTTTTCAGCGCATCAAAATCCTTGTTATCAATTCTAAAAGAGAGGGGGGTCATAGAAAAAGTACGATTAGTTGTTTTCAAATGTGAAGGTACAGAGTGTCGGAGTCCAGCCCATATTAAGACATTTATTCTACTAATTTTCTTTGAAATAATGTTAAACGAATCGGTGTTGTTTAAATGAAATAAAAGTTCATTTACATAGATTATACCAGACTCAAAAAAGTTTTTGTAAAATACAGGCTTATTATTTATACGTATCTCTTTGTTATTCCATACTATATTTTATTGATCTCTCTCTGTGTCAAATTCCTCTCGTTACATCTAGAGTCGCAGTAGTGGTGAGTTTCCTTGAGCTTTTCTGAACAGTTCAAGTACTTAAAAAACACATCCCTTTTCCCGACATTTTGCCACATGCGGTGATAACGAAGAAAATGGTGGGGATTTGCAATCAAGGTGCACAACATGTCAGCGGATTGTTATGTTCAAAGAACATTTTTTTGTGTTTCAGGAATTGTTACTTGCATCCTATTTTCTCTTGACCTCGTTTTCGCGACTTCCCTGCTATCTGAGAGCCTGACACAGACCCCATTTTCTAAGAAGCATAGAATTAACCAAATGTCTAAAATATACTGCCACGCATCTGCTGCGTCAACCCTCTCTTTTTTCTCTAGAGAATGTTTTTCAACTCTTCCCCTGCTCTAAGATACGATGATGGCTTTTCCTTTGAATGAAGTTCTATCTCCTCACTGATAACTTTTATACATGGTCTGAGAGCTGTTTTTATGTTCGGCATTTCATATCCAATGCTGACTAAGTCGGTTAACCATGCTTTAGTTAAGAGGGCATCATTTATCCCCCAGAATCCATTCTCAGCTAATGCCACGCTTAAATTAAGTACTCTGCTGAAAAAGTCTGGCTTATCTGATTTCCATTTGTTTAAAAACTCAATTAAACGCCCAGATTCGTAATAGACCATCTTTTCTTCCTTAAAATCGGACAAATAGTCATGGACATTTCTGAACTGCACGGCATTGGGCGGGAAAAATGACAAATGTGTCCCCACATCCCACATTAACCGCTGAGCCCAGTAACCGCGCCAGATATCGCAGACTCGGAAAGTTACGGTCGTCGGAAGCAACAAGGCCCACAATGCCTTGTGTAAGAACAGCGTGTTTTGAGAATTGAACGGAGCCAATGTATTTGGAGGAAGTACAACAGGAGGCGCTTCAGCATCAAACTCTACATTCAAATCAACACCTTTACATGGGAAGGGTATAGACGGCAGGCGAAGCGCCGTCTTGCCCGTTGCCTCCTTCCTGCCTTCTTTTGCGCGCACAGTTTCATCGTACGTTGTAGAAATAAACCCTGGAGGTTAGTTTGAACATATCCTTTAAACCCTCGAGATAAAGGTTATTCAGAGATTTAAAAACACTTAGAAGCACTTGCGAGCTGCTTAGAACGTCTTTAGTCTGAATTTGGGATTAAAATAGTAGATTCTTGGTGCAGTTACACTGACGTATTCAAATTAGCTCATGCACGTTAAACGTGCCTATGTTAGAGGTTAGTTATTAACATTTACATTGTTTCGAGAATCTTATACTCAGTCCAATGAGCATCTGAATTGTTGGTAATTTCAGCCCTTTTCAGTTTTTCCATCTCAAACATCAACCTTTTTAGTTCCGGTGTTAACCAAGGAGTATAGTTATTTATTACTTTCCTTTTACGCGTCGGTGCATGTATTTCTCAAAAAAGGGGCCTTAAAATTTTCCTGGCAAAAGTTGGGTTATTACTGGGCTGCCTGTGCGGCCCAGTCATAAAATGGGCTTTCGGTCGTTGGTGGTCTCTCGGGGGAGGGAAGACGCGAGGGTCTGGTACCGAGAAACGATGTTCTAACAAATGGTTTCATATGAGTTTCTCTTGCACGGAGCCTTACACGGATACTTTTTGTACCTCGTCTGCGCTCCCTCTGAAAAACCCACAAGGAGTTGCGAACATGAAGAAGGCTATTTGTGTTGTTCGAAGCGATTCGATCATGGGAGTTACTCTTTAATTTTTTTATTGTTCGAGTTTAAGTCAATTAGATGATGTTGGCGCTGGGAAGCTCAGAGAAATGCTCGCGTTGCATTCAAACCGACACGCCGTTCACGGTAGGTTCACACTAAAAGACTGAAAAGATGACTGTGAAGGTCAGGTTTGGAACACCGTGGCCGCTTCGTGAACTATCGATCAATGAAGTACATGAGGAATTAAGAAGCACAATTTATGAGCAAAGTATTTCACCAGTTGACGACACTATGGCTGAAGACTTGATTATAAGCCGTCATAGTCAGTGAAGCGAACAACTCAGTTGCCGATGAATGGCTGATGAATCCTGATGTGATGCACGTCCATGAGCGAGGGAGGTGACAACTTTGCCATGTTAGAAGACTGGCTTTTCCTTTAAATATTTCCTTCTATTTAATGCAACACACGCCACTTTGAAGGTCTAAATTTCGGATACTGAGGATAAAGAAGACACGGACAAAAATAGGAACTCTGAGAATTTCGCACACAAGTTTAAAGCTTCACCGGGACATCCCATCCGGGAGCTTCACAGAGAGCGACTTGAGGAAAATAGGAGCTATTACCGACAAGATTTGGTGACTGAGTAGAGCATACAAGTGTAGCCCACGTCGAGGTTTCATGAGATTTGCTTTTGTTTGTATCTGTATCTTGCTAAGCTTTTATCATTAAATTTGTACAAGATCTTGTGATCACAATTCTGTGTTTTCGCCCATTCAGCAAGCACGCTATATTGATTAATAGTAGTCACAGATTTCTCAGTCATTCGGGTGTGTACATTGGCAAAAGCTGCAAATTTCTAGAAGAGTCTTTGTATGTGATTCTATTCTAGTTTACTTCTAACCCCAGCAATTCGATTCGTTATACGAAACATTCAAAATCTCTCATTGTGATCACATTAGCATGTGGGGGTCTATACCACATACTCAGAACAAAAGGTTTAGCCTTGGGCTTAATTATCTTAATACCAATCAACTCAAGGCTTTCACTCTCGAGATCAAATAAACGTTCCTTATTGATAGTATTCAAGATATAAAGGGCAACCCCCCCTCCATCTCTGTTTCTATCATTTCTCTTTAGGGTATAGCCTGGGACTGCAACTTTGCCAATAGATATAGTATCACTGAGACGAATTTTATTAACCGCATGAATATCACTACACGAGATGTCCCTGAATGACTCACGAGTATCGAACACAAAACTATCACACATATCATGATAAGAATTACGGCGAAATAAATCGGATAACGCAAGGAAAAACCTTAACAAAACTGTTTAACAAAAGCTTGAGGTTGTTTCACAGTGGCCTCGTGCACGCCAATGACGAGGCCCCCTTATGTATTCTCGAAATAAAGAAAGGGTAAGAAGACCAGCAGTTACATCTAGAGCCGCAGTATTGGTGAGTTTCCTTGAGCTTTTCTAAACAGTTCAAGCACTTAAAAAACACATCCCTTTTCGCGACATTTTGCCACATGCGGTGATAACAAAGAAAATGGTGGGGATTTGCAATCAAGGTGCACAACATGTCAGCGGATTGTTATGTTCAAAGAACACTTTTTTGTGTTTCAAGAATTGTTACTTGCATCCTATTTTCTCTTGACCTCGTTTTCGCGACTTCCCTGCTATCTGAGAGCCTGAAACAGACCCCGTTTTCTAAGAAGCATAGAATTAACCAAAATGTCTAAAATATACCGCTACGCATCTGCTGCGTCAACCCTCTCGTTTTTCTCTAGAGAATGTTTTTCAACTCTTCCCCTGCTCTAAGATATGATGATGGCTTTTCCTTTGAATGAAGTTCTATCTCCTCACTGATAACTTTTATACATGGTCTGGGAGCTGTTTTTATGTTCGGCATTTCATATCCAATGCTGACTAAGTCGGTTAACCATGCTTTAGTTAAGAGGGTATCATTTATCCCCCAGAATCCATTCTCAGCTAATGCCACGCTTAAATCAAGTACTCTGCTGAAAAAGTCTGGTTTGTCTGATTTCCATTTGTTTAAAAACTCAATTAAACGCCCAGATTCGTAATAGACCATCTTTTCATCCTTAAAATCGGACAAATAGTCGTGTGCATTTCTGAACTGGACGGCATTGGGCGGGAAAAACGACAAATGTGTCCCCACATCCCACATTAACCGCTGAGCCCAATAACCGCGCCAGATATCGCAGACTCGGAAAGTTACTGTTGTTGGAAGCAACAAGGCCCACAATGCCTTGTGTAAGAACAGCGTGTTTTGAGAATTGAACGGAGCCAATGTATTTGGAGGAAGTACAACAGGAGGCGCTTCAGCATCAAACTCTACATTCAAATCAACACCTTTGTCTTTTCTTGTCAGTCTAAATATTGCATCCACGTCGGGATCTCCGTTCACTACCCCCTGTTGAACTGATGTGTCAACACCTTCGCATTTGACAAACCGGTGCGATGGGGGGTCACCAATGTGATCCAGGGGGTACCCCCTTGGCCATATAGTGCTTTGTCCAAAGTGTTCGTAAGGGTTCACCATTGCGGAGTCCGTTTTGTAAACAAAGAAGTCCCCAGTTTCTTGTTGGTAGAAAGTTATTTTACCGCTTGTTGGCGAGTTATCATCGTCTGTTTCATAGATGATTTTCGCACCATGTTGAATGGCGTACAGGTAGCCAATATTCTTTCGAGGGTAACTTCTGTACTGAAGTAAATCGTGAATGCGGTAGCCGAGAGTCTTTTGCCTTTCCACACTCAAGAAGACACAATTTGGGTGACTGTAAATGAGAATTATAATGTAACATTAGCACATACTAAGTCAGAGACTTTCAACCCTACGCCTTATGATGCAAATGTGATGTTAGGTCTTTAGAGTGCACTACGGTGTTAACTTCTCAGCAGTTTCAGGTAATGCGTGGCGTTGCGCTGGATACATCGACGGACAAACGAAAGGTTTAAAACCTTTCGTTGCCGGAATATAAATACCTGAATAACTAACTGACGGAACGGGACTAAAGCTCGGTAGAACCCTTTCGGTTCGCTTTTGGCTGTCCGTGATCAGACTCTCTCACACGCATTGATTTGAAAACGCTCTTGTGATCAAAACGAAAAAGCATGCATAATGTCAGTATGGACGATCGAAAACGCATTAAAATGAAAACATTAACCGATAATATTGTAGGCGCCCGCGTTTGTAGCATCACGAGAGTTCAACTTACGTCCACAACGTGTAATTCTATCGTTTTTGAACGTTCTAGTGTGGACGTGAATCGATCAATGCGTTTTCAGTGAAAACGAGAACGCATTCTTTTGTAAATGCTGTGACATCAGGAGCACTTACCATTTGCACGGAAATTTTCGGTGGAGAGTTTCGGACAAATGGTACTGGTATTTTTCTTCTTGCCAACGAAAACAGGAACGGGATTGAGTTGTACCATTTACAAAATACCAGTAAAGTTTTCGCTTTCTCTGCACATGAAGCCTGGCAATAGTAATCCAACAAATAGCGAAGAAAATTTCGGTCGTTTCGGTAAAAACGGAAAAATGTAATACCTGGAAAGGCATTCCTTTTTTCCGGAAAATTTCCACCGGGATGAACCGTTTCATTTGAATTCTCCCCGGTAAGCGCTCGAGGTTTTTAGGGTGTTCTTCGATCTCAACTCTCACGAAATGCGCGGCTGTGCGCTGGATAGACGGATAATCAACGGGATAATTCGAATAACTGAAGGACGGGGTCAGATTAGAGCTCGGTAGAACACTTTGCTGAGCTGCGCGGTCATCGTCACAAACAATACCAGAGGTATACAGGGTCATTAATAACATGTCCGTGAAGAGAAGCAAAAATCACTTCAACAGAACTGGAACTCTTCCAATATGTTTTATCATCACACGTAGTTAAGTTAAGTGGTTGGTAACTCAAGTAATTCAACAAGGTTCTGCGACTTAAATGAGAGGTGATTCAGCGAGGTAACTTAAAGAGGTACTTCGAAGCAATTGGAAGTGAGAATTCTGATAGGTACCATAACGAAATAATTCGAGATAATTAAAACTGTACAGTGTGCAAGCTCGCTTCTGTGTGGTCTGAATATTCTGATAATGTGGAAACAATATTTGGGAAGTCTTTCATCTAAAATAACATTCACACCTCCTAGTTAAAAACAAACTCTTAAAAAAGGGATACTATCACA